ATAAGAAACGTCGCGACGTCGCCGCCTCCGCGTCAGGCGCCTCTTGGCCGGACGCCAGTCTTATGGATTTTTGGACAATTTCGACCAACACATTCGTCCGTCTCATTTAGATCGTCTACGGAGTAGATTTCGCCTAACCTCCCAGTTTCTTATGACTTGTACGAAAATCAGGCTAACTGGAAGCAACGTCGTTAGTTGGCACAAAATGTGGCGTCGGTTAGGTCTTTAAACCGTATTAAATCAACCGTACGATAACAAATTTGGAAAAGTGGTTTCATTCTTGAAAACGATTAGCATCGCTGTATATTCATCGAATCACGTTGTGTAATAACGAAACATGCCAACATAAAATGCAACTACGAGAGAAATGTAATTAGAAAAAACTTATCATGATATTATATAAATATGTACGAGTACTTTGCAATATTGCATAAAGTTAATTAGTTTCAACGGAATGGAAGAGATCTAAATACGTTTGAACAAACGTTATTTCACGATGCGAGGTTCGGTATAAATTCAGTAACATTTACTCTGACTTTTAATGGAATTAAACGAAGGAACAATGTTTGTGTAAATGAAAATTACATCCATGAATGAGAACCATATTTCAATATTTACTTTTCATTATGTGGTTTGCTCGTTATTTGATAATCATCGAGTAGTATTAATTTAAATAAAATTATTTAAACGTGTTTTCGACACGGCCCAATTTTTCGTTAAAGTTAGAAAAGCCCCGAAGAATTTGCGGTATTTCCAAGGTGGAATGAAATTGATAGGTCTGACGCCACACCGCGCTATCGTCATGCCATCCTAATTCGCGGTATAAGCGACGTCGACGCTGGCCGACGCGACCAAGAATATGACCGGCGCGCGGCGTTTGTTTGACTCTCTATGAATGATCGACTGTCGAAAGTCCTTCAAGTTTCGTAAAAATTTCCGAGAGACAAACCATAGATACCGACTGAAAGAGCAAAAGGAAATCCAGACGAAGAGGTATCGATCGGATCTCGACATCCGGGCCACGAGCGGAATCGAAAAGTGGCGGTGAAAATTCGATTGGCACTCGTAGGGCGGAAACTTTTTAAAGGTCAAAGTGAAGACGGGCCAGCGAACGAATGGCTGCTCACAGGATTTCAAGTTTCACGAGAATTGACGGACCGCCCTGAGAGATATCGAAATTCCTCGACCGACGCCGATGCTTTGTCGAAGGAACCCGTTGCTACTAAAACACCTTTTCAACCTCGACGTTCGAACAATATACATATGTACGTATCTACGTATCCAAAGACGAGCGAATATACTCGAATCGACTGAAAGATTCGGATCAATGTATCGGAATGTATTCAAACATTTGTCCAAACATATTCGAACGTGTTCGATTATCTATAGAAAGATTGGCCGGACGTAATTTTAAAAGAGTTCGGAACCAGTGATCAAATCCAGATACGGAGTAGTATGAGTACTCCTTTAATCAGACGGTATATAATTCTCGCGGACAGACGAGTAGTACAGATCAATAATAGGCTAGCTGCTATGTTTATTTGAATCGAATTTATACGGAAATTTTGTATGTTTCGAGTACGGAAATCGCTATTGTAAATATAATACTATTAGTTTGTTAGTCGTGCAAAGTAACAATGTTTGATTTGTACCTTTCTTTTCTTTTCAAAGAAAATCTCAAACGTTTTTAAGAATGAAATAATCGGTAGTTGAACGGCTGCAGCAGTGTTATAAATAAATTCGTCATGCTCTACCATCTGCTCGACGAAATGATATTCATTGTTCGCCCACGTGTATCTACACCGACCTGCACGAAGCGTCGGTGTCGGTATCGACGTCGCGTCGACTCGATCGCGGTGTGCCTAACGATGAGGTCACGAGTTACCGCCGTCGATGTAGGTCAATTAATTCAAACTATCGATTTTCCAAACGAAAAAAAGCAAAAGAGACAAGGACGGCCTTTGAGACACGCGAAAAACACATTTGCTTTTACTCGGAGATGTCCAAACTCCAGGACCAATCGACACAAAGATCGACTCAAAGATAGCAAAATTTACATGAGAAATTTGACATTATTTCGACCATTTCTCGAATCCATCTTATTCTACCTTGTACCTTTCATACATTCTTTTCCATTAACGCTGCGAAATGTACAATTATCGTCTAGGCTCCTGGCTTTTCGCGTGGGCACAATCGATATTTCCTTGAATCCTTGCCAATTCTATAGCCGAGCAGCATCCACCGCACCGGTGTTCTGTCATCTCGCGAAAGAACCAATTCGCGCTCAACGATTCGTGAAATTATGGCAAATATTTAGACCAGATTTATGGTACTTTCTTCGTACACGGCAACGATCGCGATCGTTACGTTTTCTTTATATCTCCTTTTTTATTACATCTTCGTTAATAACATTCTTGCTTCGGAAGTCACAGACTGTTGGTCGATAACAATTACCATGTTAACTAAACAAAATAGTTGCACTGTTTACCGTTAATATTTAACATTCCTCTAATATTCGCTCACTCGATGTACTCGAAAATTGTTCGGTACGACCAGCGCTTCCGCGAAGCATAGGTTCCGTAAAGTAAACTCAACCGAGAAATAATAAATCTCAGTCAAGTAACAAGCTTCTAAAGCGAATCGTATTGTATTTGCAGGAAAAATCAATCGAGCATCCACGGTTCATTATAAATTCTCCCTCGCCTCTCTTTTCTTTTTCTCTCTTGTACGATACTACGTATTTATTTTACGATTTTATTATCGAGTAGCTCTCGGTCGGTAAATTAAAATGAACAAGACCTTCGGCAAACGTTCTTTCCAACCTGATACCTTTCCACTTTCGTAGTTTCTAGATTTTCCTAGTTTTCATCGGTAATTGCCGGTCTAGCCTAGTCCGAGCGAGCGAAACAAAAGTTGCAAAAGAAACGAGAGCACGGTAATCGATCGCGTAGCTCGAAACGCCAAAAAACGCACTGCCTTGACCCGACTACGTGACACGCGCGATTTAACGTGAGTTTCCTCTGTCGTCCAAGGAAAGCGTCGGCGCGGCGTTGCCTGAAAATCGTTTCCTAGAAAAAGAAGTTCGAGGCTGCACGGTCAAAATTCTGCCAAGCTTTCCAGGAATTCGCGAGGCTGTCGGCCCGCAGCGCGAGCGGGCGCAATAAATAACATTCGTCAGAGAGGCTGCTCGATTCTATCGAGGTCGATTTCCCCCATAGGGATCCGCGGATGTGTCGCAAAATTCGTTGGAATATTTATGCCAACATTACCACGGAACTTTCAACATTGAAAATTTTGTTATTTTCGAACAAAAATGTCCTGTCTGCGGAAAATCATCAACTATGGTACAGCAGGTGGCGGTTCGCGATCAGTTAGTTTAGTTAGATAGATTTTCAATCTCTCAAACTCTTGCGTGTGCGCCGAGGCTGTAAATTTTTCAGAGAAATATCGGTAGAGTGTAAGTTTTATTCGAGTCAATCTTTTGTCGTTACTACCTTTGCGACGACCGCGACGCCTGCGACCCTTGCGTAGTATTTACGATGGAACGCGATAGAGTTTAACGTTTTTTTTGGAAAAATAGTATCAAAGTATTCGGTGTCCCAATTTGTCATTGCTGAATCATCGCAGCTCTCCTTTTCATCATTCTATTGCAATCTCACGTTTCGTCAGAGATTTGCGCAGCGTCCACCAATAAGGATGTCCTGACGTGTTACAGGATACGTGCTCGAAACTCTAAATGGGAGCGTGACGTATCTTCCGGGCGGAAAGCAGAAAACACGCTGACGTAAAATCCGTTGGACTGCACGCTAATGAAATTTTTATCGCGGGAAATGAGACACAAATTAATCTCCGAGAAAGTTCGCGTCAAGATTCGCATAATAATCCGAACGATGATAAATATTCATAGATCCTGGCAAGAAGTTTGTCCCGTAGGACCGATCGATCCGAACTGGGAGTAGGAGTGGGAGTGGGAGTGGGAGTAGGAGTGGGAGTGGGAGTGGGAGTAGGAGTGGGAGAGGGAGAGGGAGACGAGAGCAGGAGGATTATTAAAAAAATAATTTCAAAACTTGATTTTACCTTGCGGACTTGGAATTATTTTTAAAATTACTTATTATTCTGAATGTCAGAATGATCGTATCACGCCAATTTTTTTCCCATCGATCTCATCGGAGTAAACAAATTGTCCACGGTTCAAATACTTCAATGAAATCGTTATGTTTAGCTACTCGCATTGACGACAGTATTTGCATATTTATAATTTCAGATTTATCATTTTAACATCCACTACTATCGATCGATCTAAGAAAAACAGAGCCAAGAATTGCCAAGTGGAATTCTACATATTTTTATGCTGACAGAGAAATCGATCGTATTCGATTTCTTTCAATGAGAATACATTTTCTAAGGGAAATCAAGCTAGAACGACAACTTCTATCTAATCTATGCCTTAGAAAATTCAAGTGTCGAAATAAATCCAGAGAAACTTTAGAAAATTTCAATCTTGTTAAGAAAAAAAAAAAAAGAAAGAATTTTATAGAGGGTCGTTCACAGTTACCCGATCCTTCCACTTCTACGAGTGACTTTTACGAGGAACGGAAATTGAAAACTCACGTAACTGGAATATGAAAACAAGTCAGGAAATTAATCATTCGCGAAAGAATTACCTCGAAAGAGTTCTTCGAGCGAAAGAGTTCTTTTTTCAGATCTCAGGATTAAACACTATTATTTATTATTCTTTCTCAATTTCTTAGCTGGAGCCGTAAAAAGATTTTAAAGTGCCCGTGACAAGACAAACAGTGGATATTCTAATTTTCCTTTCGAAACTTGAATTTCTCCCTGCCATAAATTAACCGGCTGATTGATTTCATTTTGGCTGGAGCCGTCTTAAACGACTCTTCTCCAGCTGGTACAATGCTGAGATACACATGTGCTCTGATTACTCCCGAGATCCGACACTGCTACAAAACGAAACAGAAAAAACATCTATGCCGTCGACTTACCTTGAGGGAGGCCATGTCAGACACGGATCGATGCGTCTGAATGGTTTCCAGCTGGTCTAAACACCAGTCCAACTCCTCCATCGTTTCCACCGCCAGCTTCTGATAGGGCTCCTCTGAAAGACAGAAGGAAACGAAGACATTAGACGCGGTGTTCGTGTGAAATGGAAAGCGACTGAAATCTTTGTAAACGGAGTGAAATTCATCGCGTTACGAAAGGGCCGTTGGTGGGTTGAAAAGGAGAATTGGAAGAGCCTGAAAGGGCGTTTTCGATGAGAATCAGAGACAAAGGCGGAAGCGGCGGTAATTAAACCACTAACTTCGGATAATGAAAGAAACTCTGATCATCTAAATATCTTTGTAATTTCAAATTTCAAATTTCAAACGAGAAACAAAGAATTAAACAAATTACGAAACACCAAACAGAAAGCAAAATTGGTTTCAATTTAAAATTTGTACATTTATTTATAATATTTTAGAGATCTGAATGAAAAAAGGTTAACAAGATTAATACGAATGGGAAGCAAGAAATTAAATTAAATTAAATTAAATTAAATTAAATTAAATTAAAACTGGATATTACCTTTAGTTAAAGAGGAAAGACGTAAACAGAAAAATGGGAGAAACATCGAAACGAAAAATTAAAAGCGATGGATTGACGTCAAAATATCGGACGGGTGATATTGAAAATAAGCAATATATAAACCAAATCAGAATATTTCAGGGTATTTCAATTTGAAAATGTTTTGAATTGAAATTCACCGAATTTTGCTTTCACGTTAAAACTATAATAATCCCGAATACAATCTAAATGAATTTCACGAGCGTAGAATACTCGGAATCTAAAGGCAATGTACCGATCAAAAGATTCATTGATATGGAAAAATTGTATTTCTTACCCCCTGGCGCCAGTATTCGTGCTTGCGGCGTGCTACTCCCTTGCGCCGCGCTACTTCTCCGTGATCTACAGGGAAAACAATTCAAATAGAAGGTATCGTAATAATTTTCGTTTAAATTTTCAGTAGAAATAGAATGATTGTCACTTACTTGTTCGGGGGTACATTTGTGAGCGACGCAAAGTTGTTCCTGACCGAGCGCAGAGACGCGAGGATCTGCGCGAATGGCGTGACGATGAGCTCCTCGCCATGGCTGCAAAACGAAACAAGAAAAAGTCAATACGCTGAACTTGGCGAAAGTCGAGGATTAACCGGAAATTCGAGGGATCAAGCGGTTAAGCGTTCACGATGTGGCGGACCCGACGCGACGTCCATTGCATTTTCGCAAAGCTGCGCTCTATTGGCATGCAAGCACACCATTTCCAAGTAGCGAACTGTACATCCTTTGTTTCTTCTGTTAATTACTTATGGCATTAATTTTGAAACATCGTCTGTTCGCTTAGTTTCTTGGCTTTTGTCAAAATGCGAGAAGAATTTCAAATGAGATCAACCAAGATACTTACAAGTTTCACTCTAAAAGCTGTTTAAATAATTAACCATGTAACAGAGATTTATGAAACAAGTTGTTGCGTTAGTTTTAAAGTGCGTCAACTTTTGAAATTGTGATAAAAATGATCGACGTTCAATCGACGATCGTAGGTTTCCAATTAAGAGTAGGAATATCAATTGAAATACTTGCCGGCAAAATTGCTTCCACAAAAGAACTCTAGGTCGTCTTTATCGCCGAGGAAAATCCCGGAAAGTTTCCCCGTTCAGAGGATCAGTCAAAGAACTTGGAAAGCTCAAGGGAAAGTAGGTTACATTAAACGATCTTGCTCGACCATAAAGCGTGTCTTTTTCGTTGCTAAGAAGACGTCTATGTCGCGCTATAGAGCTCCAAAACGAGGAACTTGCGTCACGTATAGATGTGTATCTATGTATTATATATAGAGTGTCTATAAAGTCTGTGTGCAGTTTCAAACTTTTATAACTGTCGATGCACACGCTACGAAAGATTACGACGAAAGACAACGAATAAGGAGTTTGAATTTCAGTCGGAGCTCGATCGAAATCATTTCGATTAAAAGATTTTTGGGAAACAAATCTTTTTGCTACTTGTTTCGATAAAATTTATATTTTCACTTGTTCCAAGTGATTAATGCGATAACTCTACAACCTGTTTCATCCCATGTTTCGTGTATTTGAAATTGTAATTACTACCGGAAGAATATTCTCATACAAGGAATAGGTTACGAATAATTTTGCCATCATTTTCTGTTTTTTGCGTAATTCTAAAATAATACATTTTAGCACAATTTTTCTCGCTCAAGCAGTTCTTTGATACAATACTTCCTCTTTGACAAAATTTTCATTCGAATTAATGGCTTTTGGCGGAATGCGCGGATGCGTATAGTTTCATATTAGAGAAAAGCTCGAATATGATTGACGCACGTACAACGTATAACGTCACCGGTGCAGGCGGCCGCGGCGTTCCGTGCGGCCCGGCCGGTGTGCACCAGCTGGGAATGGCTAAACGAAATTTCGTATTCTCTATGTGAAATTTGATAATCAAAAACGAGACCATATTTCATGTGGCACACAGATACGTCCACGACTTTGTACCACTCAAATTTTTTATTGCAGAAACCAACAACGATTGTTCTCGTATTCAATTTAACGCATTTCTACTTTATGTGTTATTTGAAAACTGTATAGTTATATTCAAAGTTTTAACGTTACAATTGCCGACATTTAACATTTCAATATTTGATTCAACAACAAAAAGTTTAGCGAGTAAAATGGGAGAATCGAATTTCACGATAGCGCTGGTTCGTTATCTAAAAACGAAAATCAAACCTTGGCTGAATCTCGCCTAATGAAAGCGTAATTAACGAATTGACTGCAATTTCCCTTCCATTCAAACGAGGTCGAATAACAAAGTTTTCGTCGTAAACACATCTGATTCGACGATTTCATTTCTCATTCTGCGAGTTGGTTCTTTTTTGTTTATTAACGCTGACTTAATTCTTTCTACCAATACTTATGGTATAACGTGTAAATATTTGTCTAAACATGGAAGACTAAAAAATAATATTAACATCTAATTGGAATAAATGCGCGATAAAATGAATTTGAATTAAGGTTCTACCTAAACGAATATAAACACTCGGAAGAGAATGAAACGAATTCTACTTGAAAATAGCAATAATTTTTTATTTGTTATTTTGTATTTGTTTCTCAACGAGTTAAAACTCGCGCGTAGGCCAGTAATAATAGTAATAATAGCTAGTCTAGAACACTCTAACCGAGTTTCTGGCCTTTCTCCAACGCACGAATTTATGTTCCTTGACACTCATTTACTTGATTCATTATGGAGATGCATCAAACCGATAAACATGCGGGTAATAAATGTTGAAGCCATCCATGAATGAGTTCCTTGAAATTTAGCCAATTATTTCCGTCGGTCCGTTGAATTGCGAAATATTTTGCAGTCGGTATTACTACTAGATCGTATTTTTGTCGATTAAATTTATACTGAATTTGCGTCACTCGAACAGTTTAATCACGGCAAAGTTTTATTTATGAAATACGACATCCATATTCATTCTAACAAACGTTGACTGCTTTTTCAACGAGAAGCGACACAATTATTCCGCTTCGACTAAAGAAGATCATCCAAGTACGATATTATCGATAATTGAAACTTTATCAACTCTGCGTGGATGGTGTCGTTTGGCGCTTTATTAATCAAACATTGTCGTCGATTATAATTCAATTAACCGTTCGCTAATCGTTCATCAAAATGTATTATCAACAATTCATCAACGTCGATCAATCTTTAATGCTCGTCAACACTCGATTCCTCTTTAACCAAGGATTACCGCGAATTATAATACGATTACAGTAATTCCCAGGAATGATCGATCAAATCGAGCTCTTATCAGAACTCGTCGACTTGCACATTATCGACGATCGACGTTAAATCGAAAAGAACCGATAAACGGTCGACAAGACAGGTTGCGCTAAAAATATAATGTGTCGATAATGACTCAACAATAGACTTTGTTAAACAACAATAAAAATCAAACGATAACAGTTGTCGTCAAGTATAAATAAATACACTTTGTAATTCTTGTAAATCTCAGGTACTCGTTACGAAAGTGGATAAATTTATGATTAACGAGGGCTGTTATCGTTTTATTTCGACGTTGTTGGATCGTTACCGACGATTATACACACGAGTATGTATATTTAATATACCGTGCGGGTCGTTTATCCTAGGTATCCTAGGGATTCGCCAGTATTACAAGCAGGAAGCAAACAAACCTTCGTCAACCCCGATTCACCGAGGTCTCAGAAGTCTCCGACACGACCAGTAATTACTAAACTGCCTCGCGACTGATTGTCGACCTCGATTCGACACTCTCGACTCCTCCAACAATCATCGTCCACTTACAAGTCTCTCTTCGGTGGCGACTCGAAGCACTGCTCCCAGAAGAGAGCCTTCCTAGACGATCTAACCCGGAGCGTGGAGGCCGACTGAGTTCGAGGCAGCCCTCCGGAATTTCCTGCGCCGCCTCCTGCACCGAGTGATGGCGAACTCATGCCACCGCCGCATCTTTTCAGCCCACCGCTAGACTCGGAGAAGTCCATCAACCCTCCGCTCGAGCCCGACATCGTTAGGCTTCCCTGCACCTCGCTATTCGCTGCATTTCACTCCGATCTCTGCTCTTTCGCTCTCTGACACATTTCTTGGCGAGGAGATTGCTTCTCGTTCCTCGCTTCTCACTTCTCTCTTCTCGCTTCCTCGCTTGCGCAGTTCGCAGTTTCGTCTTTGCGATTCTCTTCAATTAAGCTGAAGCGATCCGGGTGTTGGAGAGTTGTGACGGATTTCGCCCTCGATCCCTATCCGATACGGCAACTTAAGAAACACGGGATGGACGCGTGCTGGCTGAACACGGCGCTAGTTGGCTGGCCGCTGATGGAGAACACGTTCCTTGGAACACTTTCGTCTCTTGATGCAACGGAATTTTCTTTACGATAGAGCGGGTTATCTTACAACCAAATTGGACGCGTCTCGTTTCTGCCGGCCATTCGACAATTACGAGGCGCTGCTCTTACGATTCCAATCTTCTAGACGCTATTCTCCACAACACTTTTGTCCATAAATTCACTTTGGAAGCGAACGAAACCACGGGTGAAACGTCATCGAAAACTGTTCTCGAACCGACACTTCCAGAGACACTCTTTTCACGGATGTTTGTTGAAACTTTAAAATTTCGTGTAAACAATATGTCATCTTAAGCGAAGGGTTCAACAATTTAGGTAAAAAAAAAAAAAGAATATCCAACGGAAATTGGTGTGCGAATCGATCACAAGCGATCTACTTCATTCGTGAAATCCACTCCCAAATAAACCACGACAAGTTTTCCACCTGTATTTACTTATCTTGTCGCTATACTTGAGTGGTTCGCTTTATCGGTGATTACGACGATAGAGCTTCCATGCAATCTCGAATTTCTGTAGAAACAAAAGATTTGATTTGTCCGATTTGAAGGACCGAATTAACCGAATATGTATTATTATCGTAGATCGGTCTGTGTCGTTAAAGGAAGAACGGGCGACGCACGATCTTCTCGTTAGTGGAATTTGCGAGTGATCGAATACTGATTCTCCATTAGACTGATTGAATATGAAAAGGACCGTTACGCAGTTGAATTGGCGTCGCGTCGCGTCCTGTCGATTTATTCGTCAAAAGTATGCGGGCGTCGCGTCGCGTCGCGTCGCGTCGCGTCGCTTTGCTTTCACAAATGATGTATAGCACCAATCACTAGAAACGAAGCTACAGCGAGTTCAGCTTTTAGATGGTCTTTTAGGTAAATTTGGCTGTCTTTCAAATTTCCAAGAAATTTCCAAGGAACCGATAACCGAAATTCTCTAGCAAAATGATCGATAATAATAGATGTAGGGGAGGGGACGGCAGTGGATAGTATTAGAATGGAACAATAGAGAATCAGTTTTATCGCGAACAGGTCGCATAAACTGGGCCAAGTACCAACTTAACCAAATGAAACTAATTAGGCTAGACCCTCGCTACTTGTTGGCATCGTGTCTCTTTATCTTGGAATTTAAGCGGCACAGTGACACTAAATTGGAACGCACGCTTTGGTTAATTCTCGGTGTTTGAATACGCACTGCTTGTTCATTCAAAATGCGTCCTTGAAAACGCTTTAATGCAGAGTAAACGCTTAATGGCTGAAAACATGAATTATGATTATTATTGTAATATTAGGTAATCGAATGAGTAACATCGATACTCGCGAGTTACGTAACGTATCCATCAGTGTCATCAGTAGGTAGTTTAGCATGTTAATATTATACCATATCTTCGGACAAATTCAATCAGTCTATTGTTGAACAGTATTTATATTTTTTGTTCCGCACCCAACTGTCGCAGAAGAACAAGAACCATTAAGAGACGATATAATGCACGATATTCCGGTTTTCGTAATACTATCGTACGAGAATTAACGAGCACAAGGATGTTCAAGGGAAACCGGTATGCAAAGACGTCGCGGTCGTTTAACGTCAAGTGCAGCCACCACGGTTGTCTGACTGACTTCCGGAGGAACGTAAAGGCGAACCAACCAATCACCGACATTTAAAACGAAAAATTGACGGTTTTCAGGCACGGAAGTATTTTCGCGTCGACAGCCACAGCGAGGAACGTCGAACTCGTAGCCTCTAGAGTTTACAAAAACGACTCGAAAACACGTTTCTTTCTACGCGACATCGCGCATCAGCCAGAAACCGGAGAGATGGCTGACCTTTCCAGCCATCGAGAACTGACGCAATCCAACAGGAATCCTCGCCAACTCTTTTCACGATCGTTCCAGCTAGTCTATAAATACATTCGGATCGTTTCCTGCCAGTGGAAAGGTACACGACACTTCTCATTACCTACGTCTTCCGATTCTTGCTCCTCCTACCAATTCGAATCGAGTATTACGGATCACATTCGAGCAAAATTTTCAGCAACTTTCTGCTCAACAACGGTAGGCTAGCCCTAACGTTATAATACTACATATACATATTTCTTCCTAGTAAACTATCGCGACGGACCGATAAACCCATTCGATTCGCCGACCTAACGCACGGCGAATCTGACAGGGAACTGAGGTAAATTAGGGGAGTTGGATTATCGGGACGAGTTCTCTTTCGTGTATCGCGATAACGATAAGTATATATATCGCCGATGAGCCCACTTGATCTTCCGAAATTTTACGAGGGTAAATATACTGCCACCTATACGGTACAATGTCGATCAATCGAAATATTGATCTCGATTTCAGGAAAATACAGAATAGAGAAGCTTCGTAATCAAGCAAAAATGACAAATTTGGAAGTTATACGGGACGCGATACTAGCGCCGCGCCGTCCACGTGACTTCCACGGCTATAACCGAAATTATACTCGACAATCTTATCGACCTCGATTCATATAATGTCCAAAAAGAAAGATTGCTGGTTAAACGTACGACAACTTGCTACTCGTTAGTTAACGGTTTCATTGTAGTCTACGAGCACTTTTGTTTACTTTCAGGATAAAAGTAGCGTAGTTTATCATTTTTTACTATTACACAATTTTGCGATAAGTTTTATCTGAACCGATAAAAGCAGACAATACAAATGCAGAAATGGTAGATATCTACATAATGCAGTCGCAAGGTCTTTTAACGTTGTTTTCACGAGACGTCTTTTACGCGAAACGGTCAATTTCACGTATTATCCTCCGTGTAACGCGTAATACATAATAATTCACGATAATATTTACAGGTAATATTTTCGCAAATAAAGTAGCCAATATTATCGAGTGGAAACATGCACGACAAGTGAAACAAAAATTGACTAAAAGTAGCAAGAGATGTAGGGAAATCTAAATTGGATTGATTGTTAACTTTATACTAATAATAATGATAATGTTTGTAACGACTAGATGCGTTTTTATATTTTCGAGTCTGCAAGCTACCATGTTTTTTTGCGAACCGAATGTACTCCGGAGAATATGGTATTTGTTCGAAAGTACAGTCTGTGTAAGCGATCTAACGGCTGATGAAATTGCACCGAGAGTCGTCGAAATCGCAAAACGGGAAACGTTGGCCGTCGGTGATTGCAATTTCCGTTCGGTCGCGTTAATTCCAGCCTCGTTATTTCAACGAACGACGCGATTCCGACAATCGAGACGAGGATCTCGATCCAGGAGCCGATTACAAACAAAAATGATATGATATAACAACGAAGCGTTTGCTCGTTCGATTCTTTGATTTTTCAAGGAAACGAAATTACACGAACGCGTTCGGAACTTTCGGCTTGGAGTTTGCATGAATGCGGAGTTTCAAAGTTGATTTCAAGGTGCAGTTAATTTCGGTGGTTAAACGAACCGAAAGCCTCCGAGTTTCACTTCTTCTTCGATCGATGATAATCGAGTTCTCTGGGAAGAAGGACGATCGAATGCTCCAGAAAATTTGTTGATAAATTCAACGCGTTAGACGCGTTTTAAGATTATTTCTATCGTATTCGATGGGGACAATCTCTAGAAATAACGAAATACCAAGGTAACAGGAAAACGAAACAAAACGGAAATAATCCCGATTTTCATTCGTAAATATTTAAAGAGCGGTGCTTACAGATGATAAGAGGTAGTTTTCTATGAATGAGTTGTCTATCGGCCGTACTCGGCAATTTTCAAAGTATTCGGAACTCGTAGCGTATTTATTGTATATCGATAAATACGAACAAAACAGGAGCTGCTACTGCTGATGCTGATGCGTGCATACAATTCCATAAATATTCAGTGTTTTCTATTTCGCGTCGCGATACATATTTATGGGGGATCTGTTTGGTGCTCGAAATAACAATAAAAATTCTACCGTTCGCTCGAATTCGGTCCACGTTATCGCGTCTAATCTAAAATTACGTAAAAATAATTCCGCGATCGTTACTATATACGTTAAAAAAAAAAAAAAAAAAAAATGTATCGCTGACAATTGACACAAAGTAATTAGAAATCGTTCGTTTATCGGATCGAATTAGGCGCAAAAAGTTCATCGAAATGCGAATAACGATCAAGTCAACAAACTCCAAGTTACGTTATCTTCAACTCAAGTCCAGGCGTAATTAAGATTAAAAATATAATAATAATCATCTTTGTCGAATAACGCACAAAGACGTGACACGTTCAAGTTACTAGTTATTCGGTTTTGGGATGAAAAATTATACATACGTGTATGCATGTACCTGGGCTTTGCTTGACAAGTGTTTTCAAAAGGTTGATTGTACGCGCGATGTAACCGATAAGAAAACAACGAGTTTCGAGCGAACGATTAACTTTTACGATAAACACAGTCTCCGAGAATTCGTTGTAAATCCCCATCCGGTGTTTTGATATCGAAAACGTCGTTTACACCCCCCCCCCCCCCCCCGTACACGCATCACTCTTACTTTCACAACGAAGGGTCGCGCGTCGCTTTGGTGACGTCAACGATTCAACTACGATTCGTACTGGAATCCCTGACGGATCCTCCGTCCTTCTCACCGAACGGTTACTCGAATAATCATCGAATTGCTATCGTGGAACGATGCAAACGGTGCGATTCGGTTGCGAATCGAGGTCCTCGCCCACGCGAGTGCTCGACGGAATGCGTAATTACGGGCAGCGAAGCGTCGGCGCGGCGTCGGCGTCGGCGTCGTGTCGTGCGACACGGGATCATCGACGAGCGATCGACGCCTCGCTGCATCGATCGCTAGAGGCGACGCGACGCGACGCGACGCGACGCGTCGACGCTAGGCTAGGGGTGAGAAAAAACTAGCGTGGAAGGTGTGTTTGAGCGTGGCGAACGTGACGCGTAACCGTAGATAAGGTGTACTACGCGCTGGAAAAGGTCGACGCGCTAACGTCGTCGGACACCTCGTGTTCGCCGCGACGTCCAACTGGCCAGGGTGTTCTGGTTTCGCAGAGATTTCACTTGACGTTGCGGAGAGGGGAATAGAGGGGCAGAAGGGGTACGATTTGCGCGGGAAACTTGCGCGTTGTTCGTCGTTTCTCTCGCTCGGACCAACTCTCTCGCGTTTACGCATTTCGCTCTACGACTAGTTTTCCTTCGCACCCCCTACCTCTCTTCTTCGTCTATCCGGATAGCTTGTATTCAACTTGTAACTTGTAACTTGTAACTTGTAACAACGTGCCTGTCTGAAATATTGTCCTTTCTTAGCTTCTCTTTTTCAATTACCACGTAACCGAGAAACTTGTGCCGTTTCTCCGATAACTACGAAATGGAGTAGCTTGCGCGAAACACCGGATAGCTGGAAATTCCGGTGACATTAAAAACAAGTTTTACCGTCTCGCTAACGACAAGTGCGCAAAGGTGCAACCGTGAAATGTATACTCTGTCCTTTATACAATTCCTTCCTTTTCCTTAAATTTGTTCTTTCTATTCTCGAATCCACCCCTAAAACGTATTTCTAAACTGGATCTGAATTTCGACTCGAAAACAATCAGCGACATTTCTACCAAGTGTAAATATTAAGTGCTGATATTAATTTCAGTCAGTTTCGATCGACTGAAATTGAACTCGAAAGAGCAGAAATTACATTCGTTGAAAATTAGAACGCGGCGCGCGGAATTCTGCGCAAATTTGAAACTTACGAGGTCGCTTGCCAATGAAATTATAGCAAACGAAAATTAAAGAGAAAATTAAATTCATTCTCCGTTTGATTCGGATTACGGTATGTATGGGATTTAAATACGATCATCGGATCCAGAGAAACTGTTAACGTATCGAGTCGCATCAACGAGGAACGTTCGATGAATATTCAATGAATTTTAATGTCCTATCCGTTGAGTCTTTGATTAATATCAAACGATTGAAATGTTTGATAAACGATACCGCCGCGTCGCGTCGAGTCGCGTCGAGTCGCGTCGACGCGGTGTACCGTTGCATACCTCGATTCAACAATATTTCTTCGAAAAACATTGTGAGGAATTGCAAGAATTTGAATAATAAAAGCAATGCATAACTAGCAAGGATAGTCGTAAAAAATTTAATAAAATCATGCTCTTTGTTATTGTCTGTGTAATTTAATCTCTATTTGCTGAAATCTCTTTCGCGAGCCTGATGTCATATCTCCTTGCTACAGTTGTCAATCGCGTCATTAACATTACAGCCAAGTTTCATGATTGTACAGAATGTTCAATTTCACGTTAAGATTGCGCAACTCACTTGAATCAACCGCAATAGTCCTTTGCACGATATCGTTTCGATTAATTTCACGGTAAAAGCTTGGATATTGCACGTCATCGCATAGTTACTAAATATAAAACTTTTAAACTTTATCCTCGTTTAGAACTCGATTTCGTTCGCTGTCGAAAACTTGTCGACGTTCACCAACAAAAACACACAGACACCAACGTTTGACGATTAACAAATTTTAAACAATCTCGTCTGCAACAGGTTCGCTCGATTAAGCAACAAACAAATAAACAAATTCGTTCCTACTTTACCCGTATGATTAGACGTTGAATAAATCATTGTTTTCTTTGTTATTGTAAATTGAACGACGCGCAATACCGACCGAGCGACTGGTAACGTGGTAACTGGTCACTTGGAGCGAAACGAAGGTAGGTACTACAACGACAGACAGCATGCGCAAGATAGTAATTGCCACGTACACAGTTGAAAGAAATCAGCCATGTATACAGGGTGAGCCAGGAGAAACAAACGGAACAGCTGAATATCTCTGGTGGGATTAAAGATAAGAAAGAACGTTCAACGAGAAAATTGTACCTTTCGAAAGATCGAATAAAAGTAAGTCCAAGTAAACAGAGTTTCTATTTAACCCTAGTGTTTGCGGTTGGTTGTCCCAAGGATATCCATGGTTATCCACGGTTATCCACGGTTATCCACGGTTATCCACGTTTATCGTCATTCTTTTTCATCTCGATAGACGTGTTACTCGTAGTCGGTCACTCGTCGTTCGCAGCCTAGACGGTGCTCTATTCCTAATGACCTAATGTCTTGACGTCCAACAGCGGTAGTTATTCAAACCAACACTTGAATCGTACTTAATTCATTGAATTCCTTAAGTGCACCTATGCGATCGTGTCATTGCGACTAGTAAAACGACGAGGCCAAGGAATTCGAGGCGATATCATGGATCAGGTTCGCTGCCAAGGCCAACGACGAACGTCTCATCTTTAATAATCTTAATAGTTTTACGCCGGGGACAATTGCTTTAAGCTTTCAATCTTACGAGTCTAACACGTTTATCGTTCCACAATTTTTCAAACATAACCACCGACTACGAATAACAATCTTGACCTGTTGCGCGACCAAGTAGTTTTCGTGAAAGCGAGACGACGCGACGCTTTCAAGAATAAAAATTTAAAGCATTTCATAGTTTATACGCTTAACGGCAGAAATATCGATAACGATAGCATTCATGGACGGGTTGAGCAGCGGAGTAGGTACCGTTGTCAACAATTCCATTAAAGTGTTATTAATGTCGAGTGAAACGTAATAATTAACTAGAATCGTCTCGTTCGACGGGTATCGTTATATGAGTCACAAGTTACAAAATAGTCTGGTAAATAAATAAATTACTGGCTAGAAGGGGGAGCGTTATCGATTCCCATTTCGATCCGCAGAAATCGAATTTACTTATTTACTAAATAAATAAGTAAATATCGTAACCAGAATAATAATATGAATCGTAGGTCGAAAACGCGATTCCTCGATGCGACTCTATGCGTATCTAACCACGACAGATGGAGTAAAGTGAATACACTGCGTTACCTACGTACGTATCATCTATGTTTGCTCTACTCGAGATAAAAATATTTGCACGCGGTGCACTTCCATTCGTGTGCACTCTGCACTCTGCACTGTGCATTCACGTTGCATTCGTTGCACCACGAAAATCAGAGCGCAGTCGTTTAGATTGCATTTCGAATTCAAAGCACTTGTCCACCTGTCTCCGTTAGATATGTCTATGTTCCTTATTAATGGGAATTCAAAGACATTGGTATAAAACAAACCTTTTCCTCTATCTTTTCGAGTTTCTTTAATCGAGAAATAAACTTAAATAAATAAAATCAACGACAGTCTCAACTGGAATGCACATTTCTATTACACACGTATGTTGATTTCTATTATCAATATTCCAAAATGGATTCGAGGTAAGAGAGGCACGGTTCTAAGGTATCCATACGCTTCCATTGGCACTCGAATTAGCGAGCTCGTGTGAGAAAACGCAGCTGAGCCGATTGATATTGCGTGGCACGGTATTTCAGGAATCAATCATATTTCTTCCATCAACGGTGTGTACTCCAACGCAATTAAAATTGTTCAAATAAGAGACTCAATTCGAGAGATTGATCGTGCACTTTCTACAATTTCAATTGCTCGAGGTGACGAGTTTTACATATTCGGAGATGTGTCAAATTTGTATCGAAATAAAATTTCAGAAAATTTCAAATTTCAAAAAAGGAATAAAAAACAAACAACTGCTTATTCGATATATGTATGTATATTCTCACAATTCGGCAAATTAAAGAAAGCGCATGGCAAATTTGATCGCACAAATTGATTCTCTTATCGATGAATAATCCTTCTTCTCATTTGTAATTCTACTACTACCACCACCATCTTTGTAATAAGCGGCAGACGTTAACAATTATTCCAATTAAAGAAGCATTTTCAAGCGTACAGTTCGCAACTATAGCGACTGCGGCATACCCAAATTATGTAATAATGCGACTTACCTAAACTGATCGGTAAATATCCTGAAAATAACAATTCATTTTTATTCAAAAACGTTTTACTATGCTTGACATGCTGTTAATAACTTACGTATGGCATACCTCACTCTACGACAAACAAAGTTAAATAAACAAAATAATCTATCGCTTTAGCATTGTTTTATGTTTTCTATTGTTCTAAATAATTTTGCAAAAGCTGGCTGCCTGAATATTTTACACGCTATACGCTCGCCTAAATAACGATGCCTATTATTTAAAAAAAAAAAGAAGTTAGTAAAAGAGATTAGTAAAAACTCTTTTTAGCGTTTTTCTACATTTCTTTGTAATCTTTCTTTCTTTTCTACGCATTTTGCATTGTTTCGACGTTGTACAGTATTTATTGTTGGTGAAATAATAGTGGTGCAACGTGTCGATATTTGAAGAGGAACAGTGTTGTTGCGTTTTATTCTCGTGTATAGATATGTGTGCTTGCGCGTATGCGTATGCGTATGCGTTTGCATAGGCGTGTGCGTTGTGCGTGTGCAAGAGTGTGCTCAAACATCGATTTGATCGGCCCAATTCCGTTCAATTCGTTACGACAACAATTGTGTGCTGCGAAGAGTACCGTAATAAAAAGGGTCTAGAAAAATTGCAGCTAACTTTCTAACGCGAGTAGAGGAGAATGCTCGTTGCAATTTTTCAGATTTTATTTTTCAATGTATCGAATTGAATCGATACTCGATCGAATCGATTTCTCAGCGATTAATTATTACAACGGGGGCGTTGATTAGTCTTGTGAGTCTGTAGTGGTTGTGTGTGTGTGTGTGTGTGTGTGTGTGTGTGTGTGTGTGTGTGTGT